TTAAGAATATGATACAAAAAGGTCTGTACCATGGACTAGAAGCAATTATATATCTTGTTACATGAGCAGTGTATCGACCCTGTAGTCGGAAGACCTGAGGCACACTCAGTCTATGTAAAGCATGTAATCTTAAATTAATAATTAATTAAGATGGAAAACCTTGCTGTTGAGCGTGATATCCTTTCAAAACAACTAAGTTATCATAAAATCCATTTCTACAGCTCCCATTCCTATGATGTACTGAGGGCGAAGCTGTTGAGGGAGACAGGAATTTATTCTAATTTATATTCTAACGAAGAGAGATATAACTAACCGTACTTCAAGACCTTTATATACAAGTGGAGGGAAATCGCCTCTTTCATTATTTTTTTTTTTTTGACATGTGCTTAAATTTAGATATTGCAAGGAGTGGACATATTTTAATTGTTTGTTTAAGTGTTGAGCTCATGTCGTTTACAGTAAGAAATATGGACCTATGAAAAAAAAAATATTTTTTTCTAGATAATTTTTTGGTGCTTCAGCCCGAAAGCCCCCTTGCAGAAGATTCAAATTCAGATAGTGAAGAATAGTGGTGGTTTTATATGCAAGTGACATTCAAATGCAAATACCCATATTGCTTAAAAGGTAAGGTAGGATTTAAAATAAATATATAAATCTCAAGTTGTCTCTAACAAAGTAGTGTGTAGGATGTTAGTTAGTCTTTGGCAAAAATGATTCCATTGGTGGGTTTAGGAATCTTCAAAAATCGGAATAAATATAATTAATTACTACCAGCTAATATTATCAACTTTAATATTAATGAAGTACACAAGCGGATCCAGAATATAATTTTGGGGGGGGGGGGGCTTCAGCCCGAGAGATTTTTTTTTCATATACATATAACGATAATTAATTTGAAAAAAAAAGAAATAAATTAATTACCTATATGAAATGGTGTTTAAGTGGTTCTTGAAGTCCTATTAAATGTAATTAAACGAACAAGAATACTTTAAGAGATAGTTTTTAATATTTTTTTTCTGTAAAACGTGATTATATTTTACCATGAACCCCCTCCCCCTCACACATTCACACTCTATTTACAAGAAATAAAAATAAATATTACAGAAAAATAATAATACTTAAAGTAAATATATATAAACTAAACTGAGGAAAAAGAAAGTAATCTAATCAAAATAACTACCCAAATTCACACATGCTTCTATACAATATCTAAAAAATTCATTCATTGGAGATCTCTGAGCCAAGTCTTTCTCCCCACTCGTGGAAGGAAAGGCAGGAATCTAAAAGTTCCGTGCGCCTCTCACTCCACCGCACTACTGGTATTCAGGACCAGTAGAGGTTGAGCAGAGGAGCAATGATCACACATACATGCCATTGCCAAAACTCCAATATATACTTATTCACAAAAGGTCTCTGGGCCATTGCCGCTTCAACCTTCGAGGAGGATTGTAAGGATGGGTGGTGCAAGGGATATAAGGATTGTGCAAGAAGATTTGGATGACAGATAAAGTTGAATTTTTCTTGGATAAGATCTAAGACAAATAAGATATTAAAGTCATTGTGTAGAGTTTTGTTAGTTACATAGAAGAAGCATCAACTATTGTTCGAAGAACTTTAGATTGAAAGGATTGGATGCGTTTGATGTTAGAAAACTTTGCTGTTCCCTATAGTTGAAGTCCATATATCCACATTGGTTTCAGGATTGTCTTGTAGATCAGTACCGGATTGTGTCCGAGAAAGCTGGATGGAATTAACGTGTACTGCTAGACATGAATTGTGTCGCATTGTAAAGGTAATATGTTGGCGTTTTGATTCATTGACTTTAATGCGCCAGTTATTACACCAGTGCTCAATCAAGGAGAGGTGCCTTTGCAGTTTTGAGGATGCTATGCTATGCGGGTTCAGAGTTGGATGATAAGATTGCGGTGTCATCAGCGAATGTTGCAAGGAAGGTATCGAGATGAATAGGAATGTCAGCGATAAAGAATATATAAAGTAACAGACAAAAGATACTACTTTGGGGAACACCGGCTTTGGCTGGATAGATATTGGAAAACTCTGTTCCACAGCGAACTCGAAAGGAGCGGTTGGAGAGGTAGTATCGGAGGACTAGGTAAAAGGACTGAGGTGAATGGATTTTAAGCTAGAAGAGCAGTCCGGAGTGCCATACCCGGTCAAAAAATAAAACACTAACTTACTTTTATAATCTCGCAAGATCATAGAGCGGGAGTTAGATTTAGCTCACTTAGATAATTTTATTGACCATCTTACCAATTTATCCAGTGAAAGAAATCATTAAGTACAGCGAATTTTGGCGATCAATTTTAATATTATTAAGATAACAAAATATTGTTAAGTACCAGATAGTGATTTTTTGCTCTGTAGAGTCAGAACATCGCGCAAGAAGTGAAACTATTTATTACGTTCAAAAAGATTTGTATTATTTGTATGCACTTAAATAGTTAGTGCATAGATAACTATGATCAAAATTAACCTTCTGGTAAAAATTGACTATAAATGTACTTAGTGACTTTTTGCAACAAACCGACTATACAAAATTTATCATATCTTACATTTATCGACCTATCATATCTTAAACATCGACCATTTAATGTTTTTCCAGCCATTAATTCATAATGATATTCTAGATTTGTTATCTATTTTACAATTCAATTCGTATATATACATTTTTTGCGGTTCTAATGCATTATTATGATTGATTGATAAATATTTTCTGGATTATCAGACAGACTATTAAACCAATTCAGTATTGAAGTTTTTTTTTAAATTTGATTTTTTTTTTTATGTATTCATTTTTCTTTAATGCAATTGGTTTATTGGAATATATTCAGAAAATATATATCTGGAAAAAGGTCTCCCGATACGTTTCTAGGAACTCGATATACCCTTTCGTGGGCAGTGGATGTGATGAAGCCCCATAGAGCACGGACTACGTCCATTAACTTAATGAAAGTATATTAATCAAATAAGAAAATCTAAAAGTATTTCATCCTACACGAAATAAATAAAAACGTTTTCTAAGAAATACTTGTGATAGCCCCCATGTCTACCTCTTGGACAATCATAATTCGAATCCCGTAAAACCTCTCAATTAAAAACCTCTCATTGTAAATATAACCAGATAAATTTTTTTATTTTTAAAATTATCTTTAATGTATCTTTCTCACCCTTAAGATCAACTGTCTATCCTTTGCGCAATTCATTGGCGTTAATTTAATATATTTGTCTCAGGCTCTCTTTTAAATCAGGAGTCTCCAAACTTTTTGGCTCGCTGACCACATCGAGACGTCCATTAAGGCCGTATAGAAGATCTTGTAAGTCCTGGTTACATGGCTTACGATGAAAAAATGATCTTGTTCTATAAATGATACTTCTGCTGTGAAACGAGCTTACTAAGAGACAGGGGTGCCGAGAAGGAGGTTTCATGGCGCAATTTTGAGGGGGGCACATTTCGATGGGTTTATGAATTTTGGAATGAAAAGATTCAAATCAAAAGACAAGAAAGCATGAAATAGATTGAAGAAAATGTAGGATATTTCAAATTTTACTTTCGCTTTCATTTTTAAGAAGAGATGGGCAGTAAAATATCTTGGAGGGTGCGTCATTGATAACTCATGCAATAAATTTTGTAGTAACGTGGTGTTCGAATGATTTACTAAATATAAATTTTTTAAAAATTTTACTTTGTAAGCACGTAAAAATTCGCGGACCGGACTGGAGGCGCTTGCGGCCCGGATTCGGCGCGCAGGCCTTAGTTTGGTGATCCCCTGTTTGAATGAAGCTCCTAGGGTCTTGCATGGAATGATGAGAAGCTACCTCCACGACAGGACATTAAAGATCAGAGGTAGTTTCTGATCAGGCTATATTTGTTGCTGGACGCTTCATACCTAGCATAGGAAATGCTGGAGTACGCTCGACCATCAGACACTATCGAAGGCGGGTGATATGTCGGAAAGCATTCGACATACTCCGCCTTCTCTTTGACATCACGGAACACTCTCGGGAGAGCATTTGCGGTTCACCTGCCTTTAGTGGATCCATACTGCCGTGGATGGCTAGCTCTTGAGAAGACTGGCCATAGGCTAGTGAGCATCGGGTTTTCTAACACATTGCTCAAGATAGGGAGAAGGCATGTAGGTCTATAAGATTGGACTAATTGCTTATATTTGTCTCCTCCTATGTAGATGAGCCTGACTTAAGGAATTTTCCAGCTTTTTGGCAAATATTCTCTGTATAGGCAATCATTGTAAACAGCTAGCAACCTTTCTTCAATATAGTAAATACCATTCTAGAAAATTGCTGCGTCAATGGTGTCTAAATCAGGGGGACGATCAGACTTTGGCTTACCAATCCCATTTAACAAATTATAGAACTGTTCACTTAATTGTACTACTTAAAATACGAAGATGCGGTGGAAAGGGGTTGTCTGCAGGGTTCTGTCCTGTGGAAATTGGTCTCCGACGAGACAAGAGGAGCGGTTCCCCGCAATAGCTTACGTATGTGATGATCCCCCTGCAGGATACAATGGAAGAATGGAACCGGCGAAGGGTACAACTTGGTACCTTGATCCTGTATCAATTATATTTGTCATCCACTTCTTTAGACTACGTCTTTTGCGCAAACGTGTAAGCACTTATGTTTAAAAAACGGCTCCAACGATTTGTCCTGATAAAAGGAAATTTGGCAACTTCGTTTAGGATTGATTTTATCATATACAACCATCTGCTACGTTTTTTTTGGTTTGATATTTAAGTAGCCAGAACTAAATTTGTTACATTAAATTTTGGCGTGTCCAACTGTTATTAAACATTAAACTAACCTGAGTACATTTATTTTGAAACTGGTCCGCGTATGACCAGCTATCGTCATTAATTGCTGAGACCTGTTCAGGTACATTAGTGTTTTAAGAAAAATTAATAGGGCTAAAACTATAACTAAAACCCTTATCTAGAGGACCTCACTAGACACGGTGGGTGGGGATGGGTGCGCGCGCCTCCCCACTCCCCCTCCGGACGGACACACACAAACAGAGGAGCAGATCGATAGGGCTGTGTCTCACCGGCGGTCTGTCCCCTCAGCATCTCTGTCAGCATCTCGAGGTAAGTTCTTCCCTCCAGATCACTGGATCACATCTAATCTTAACCTGGGCCACCCTCTACCGGGCATATGCCGAAAAATTACGGTATGGCCATTTCTTTGACATTTTAATAAGGTCTGAATCCATACAGTTGAGAATTGAGGCGGCACAAGCTGTTTGAGTACACGCGTTGTTTATGTCAAAAGTGGATAATGTCCTGCAGAACTCAAGTGGCTTTTAGAATCCAACTCATCTGTGGATTCCTTAGTAATTTTGAGTCTAGATTCCCTCCCTCTGATGTAAATGAAAGAGAAAACTCGGACAACAGAAGACATATCATTCCTTGTACAATTTTTTCCTCTTCAATATAATAAAAACAAAATGTAGTACTAAAAATTAAAATGTCAAAACATGGCTATTCCAATGCGTATGTTTGTTTCGAACAATTTCACTTTGATATAAATTCTTAACAAATACGAAAACTACTGTGCTTATTTTCCCTTTTTATCATTTATTTTTTTATTTATATGATATAATTTTCGTTTTACCGATTTCATTTTACTAATTTTATTTCGAAAATTAAATCTCATAAAAGATATGTAAATATATTTTTTAAACACATTTTTTTAAATTTTATTTAATGATATTTTTAAGAATGAATGATATTATCTCATAGATTTTCAATATTTGTTTCTTCTCTGCACTACTATTTTAATTATATATTTAATATATAATGCTTATATCTTATTTATGATGTATTTTTTTATCGTTTTTTTTTTAGAGATTGACTCTGTTTTTGGTTGATATATATATATATATATATATATATATATATATATATATATATATATATATATATATATAAATAAAATAAAATAGAAATTATATATCATTGATGTGTTTGTTACAATGACGCCAAAACATTTGTATTGTTTGTTGCTTGCTGGAGGCTGCCTTGACGAACGAATGACAGATCAATTAATGTCACACCGGCTTTGGTATGGTCCGCATCTGTGCGCTTAAACGTTTTAAGAAAGCATTTTTAAATAAAAAAAAAAAAATTGATTTAATTATTAAAATTTAATGTTTAGTAAGTTATTTAATTATATTATCTTTTATTAAAGATGTTATTATTTATTATTTTTTAGTCAGGAAAAATAATTTTTTTAATAAATTAATTAATTGATAAATTAAATAAATAAATAAATTACTATAAATTGAATTTATTGCAAGGTAATATCTCATCAGATATATTAAATAGAGCTTACGTTTATTCAAGGGAAAATAATAATTTTTTTCGCTTTTTTAATCTTTTTTGCAGTGAATGTTAATGGGTCATTCTATAATATATTTTACTAAAGTTGATCAAATGATACAGATATTATTTGGCCTTATCGTTGTATCGTAACCCTTTTAGGTTCACGGAGATCTGCGATGATTGGTCTAAATGATTAACACTGGGTCACAGGTTGGACGAATATGGAGGGCGGGGCAAAACGTCCCGAGGACTTATTTTTTGCGGGTCGCTAACGATGGGGGACCTTGTGTTGTCTTGTGGGTTACAACACAACCTACAGGCATATTCAACTTTAAGAAAACAATTTTGTATATATGTATCATGCATACAATCATGATTGATTTTCGCGAAAAAAAACACCGTGGTGTTATTGATTTCAAATTTGCTATTCCGATCTAGGAATTTTTGGCACAGTTTGTCACAGTATACCTTTGAAGTATTTTTTTGGTGATATCCGGCTTATTTAATGCAAATTTTTATAGCGTAATTTTAATTTTGTTGGTAATGGGTCTAAATGGTGATTATTAATTGGATAAGCAGTACTTATAATTAATATATAATACTACATTTAAATGGGTGCCTTCAGAGAATATGTTTATAATGGTATAACAAAAAAAAAGATTCTAAAATCTAACAATTTTTTGTAATTCTTATAATTTAAAAAAATAAATTGTGGTTTTAGGAAGAAAATGTTGAATTTTGATTCATATTACAAATTTTGACCCGCGTTAGATTCGAATAATACATTCCTGGATTATATTTATATGGAAAAAAAAATACCGCTTACATATACCTTCTTCAGTTTGATGGGTTTTTTTTTTTTGTCTACGAACGTAAATATGTTTTTACTTCTTTCCCATCATGGTTCAAGTATTTACTGGTTTTCTCTGAAACCTTGTCAAGATAAGCCGATACAGGAAAAGTTGTTCAAGGGAAAAATAGTCGACTAAGTCGACTCCAATATACTTGAAGGTTTGTCCCTGCGCTTGTAATTACCTACAGTTTGCCAAATTGTTTGATTTTTTTTTTTATTGGTTGATATTTACTGATCCTTTCCAATGAGTCGTGGTGTTATATTATAAAACCCAAAGCTTTCCTCGATAAACGGTAGATTCAATGCAAAATGAATACTTCAAATTTTACCGGTAGGTACGGAAATTATAACGTTCAAACGAACTCACTCCTCAATTTTTATATATTGGTATAGACCACAGGCGGATCTACGAGGGGGAGGAGCTTTCGGGCTGAACCTCCCCCCTCCCCAAAAAAAATGGTAAAATATAACCATGTTTTACAGAAAAAAGTATTAAAAACTATCTCTTAAAGTATTCTTGTTCGTGTAATTACATTTAATGGGACTTCAAGAACCACTTAAACACCATTTCATATAGGTAGTTAATTTCTTTCTTTTTTTTTTTAAAACTTATTATCGTTATATGTATATGATAAAAAAATCTTTCGAGCTGAAGCCCCCCCCAAAAAAAAAATTATATCCTGGATCCGCTAGTGGAATAGAAAACCTGTACCACTACAACCCATGAAGGGTCTGGGGTTCAGTACTATTTAGGGAAAGTACTGTTTCTAGGTCAACGGTTGTGCAAGGAGGTGATTTGACCGAGATCACGCTCAACCGCCAGGTTTTCCCCCTTAATTAATTATTTAATTAAGGGTACCCACTTTATAGAGGCTGGGTGTGCCCCAGGAGGGACTCTCAACCCAGAGTCGCCCCACGGCCAATGAAACAGATAAATAAATTTTCTGCCATGAGCCGGGGTTCGAACCTGGGACCTTTGCATTGGAAGCTCAGTGCTCTACCACTGAGCTACCCCACTCCCCATAGTGGAATAGATAAGAATAAATAAAAATTATTTTCAGATCCATAACTTCGATCCTTATAACATCACGAATGTTATACATGTTTTATAAACCAAGTCAAAACTTTGCAAAACTTATGTAATCTGACTTATATTTGTCTGCGATCTACAGTTCGTTCTCACCACCGGGGTTGTTTCATATACGTTCAGCGTTGGGAACCTGAAAAGATTTTTTCTTTCTTAGTAAGGTCTTTTCTGAATTTCCTTACTGCATGATTTCTCCATTCTATAGCCGACTCGTCTGCTTTACTGAATGTTGTGTTATGGGAACGTGTTTTTGCGCAAGGAATCATATTTTGCATTCATAAGGAAAAATGTTGAAGATATTGAGGAGATGTTTGATAATACCCTTTCTGATCCTTGTGAGCTATCTGTGGCATCGGCAATTGGTTCGGCATGTTGAAAAGGCGTAATTTAGATTTAGACTACTAATTATTTTCCTGCAAATTTTGGATTTAAATGCGGAAAAAAGACAGCACGGCTGTGCCTACGAGATTACCACCCAGCTTGCAGTTTCAGCCGATTTCCGAAGTCGGGATTGGATATTGTCCCCGATAAGCCGGAGGATGAAGTGTTCGCTTTCCCATCTCCGGGCTGTTCCTATCCGCCCAGCTCCGGCAGCGGCCCGCGGACGGGAAGCGGTGCCTTCGAGGCAATAACCATCTTTCAAACTCCTCGTAAATCAATCATCTTGGCTTTGAAGTGCTTCGTAAAGTCGGCCCAACTTTAATAGAAGGTAACATCAACCCTCCTCTGCCTACTTTATTAAAACATACAATTTATAATTGGGTATTTACCGACCATTAATAAATTGTTTCAAATTGAACTCCGGTTTGCCAATGTGTGGTTAATCCTTATTTTATTATTCACTGATATGAAAAAGGATATATATTCCTAATATATGTTTCTAAATGATATCATGATAATAATATTTTGAACATATGTTTTCGAAATATGTAAGTATATTATGTTATATTGAAGTTACACAAATTTTTATTTAGTTCTTTTTTGGCTCATTATTTTCAATAATGAACCATTGTTACTAACCGAAAAATTCAAAAACTTAATCCCCCTTCAAAATTTGAAGGTTTGCGTTTCAGGATACCTAGAATTCGAAAATCGAAAATTTTTTTGTCCGTCCGCCGTTCGCGTATTTTCTCCGAATCTTCTGGACCGATTCAAATTTGGATTTAATGTCAGAGGTCACCTGAGGATGATCCTCCTTTATCGACATTACTATCCGTCTTTTCCTTTAAAGATAGCGGGCAAAAAACTTGTGTTGCTATAGACTATAGCGCCGAACGAATGTACTGATTTAAATGAAACTTGGCCAAAATCTTCTTCTCGATGCCTTTTAAATTTACCTATATGACATACTTTAACTGTAATAAGATGGAAAATAAGTTACGAAGGGTGGTAAAATTAGATTTCCGAATAACTCAAAAAGTATACTCTTTTTTGTTGATATTGTATGGCTATTCAAAAGTTTATGAAATTCCTCTCCTCCCCCCCAAAAAAAAAAAAAATCGTTAAAATCGGACATGAGATATGGTCTCTAGATATTTTTTTTATATATTCTACTGCAAAGTTTATATCCTTTGTTTGTGTTTTTTGAAAGTGTTACTGAAGTAATGTTATTTTTTTTTTTAGCAAATTACTAATGATAAAAAAAATATGTTAAGGCCAATAATAGAAATCATCTTTTATTTCTTTTTCTTTGTTACTAGGTAGGTAATGTTACTTTAGTTGTATAATTGTTTGGAAATAATAAACCATTGTGAAATAATTTGCAGCGTTTTTTATACTAACGCCGGGACATTAAAGATTCCTAAACAGAGAACGCATTGTATCCGGGCGATGCGATATTCGTTTGTCGGTATCGCTGAGGATTATGGCGATCTGTGGGACTGCTATAATGCAATAGACAGTAGTACAACTATGTCGGTATATCGCCGCCGACAGGAAATCGTATCGGCTTTACATATCGTATTCTGTATGTTGAAGTCATAGCTGTTAACTATTTTTACTATACAATTTTAACAACACACCTCGATCCAAATTTGTCCTGACTGAATTTACAAAATCACTAACTACATTTACGAAAATGCTATTTACTTAGAAATTAGAAAAATAATTTCTTATTATTAAATAATTACTTAAAAAATTTAAAGTTCACTTCGAGAAACGTTCCCACTAATTTATATTAGGGATAACCACAGTCCTCAGATGAACGTTGTACGTTAACTTGGAATTTAAGTCGACAAACGAGTAGCACTTGCATAAACTAAAATCTTTTTTTAATCCAAAATTTTAAGACTAATATCAGACGCTCCTTTGGTGCGTAACATGGTTATAAAAAAATATACAAATCTACTTACAGCAACCTTTAATCAACTAACAGATTAGTACTCTTTATCAACGTTGACATAATAGACTTTACAGCTATCAGACTGATAAATGATATGGCATCGGCTGCCATGTCCAATAGGATGAGACTAAAATGAGTTGGATAAGAGATCCTGCATTAAGGGATTTGAATTAAGTCTAGGGAGTTGCTACAGTGTTCTAGTATTCTTCCTCATCACTGTAATTTTCTCCACCGCATTCCCTGATCCTCACTCTCATCTTCCCCACCGTGTGCATTGAGAAAGCAAACGGTTAAAATGTTTAAATTATAAAATATTCAACAATATTTATTAGACAAGAGATACTCATACTTTAGAAATACGTATTTGGATGTATTAGATTGGTGCCTATAGTCGCTTCTTTTTTGTACTGTTGATGTGAGATATACTGAATTGGTTTGCATTTATGTGATTTTGTTTTTCTATTTTTGAATTTGCGTAAGGTTGATGGATTGGTTGTTTTTCTGTGTTTCAGTGAAAATATTTAGTGTATTGTTTCTTCTAATTTATCCTAATATAAAAACTAATTTCAAAATAGGTTTTCAGGATGACTTTTTCCTATTTTATTGTTTATGTTTTTTTATGTAAATTTGTGAAAAAAATCTAACATAAGTTGCTTGAATAATCTCAACATTTGAATTATTGGTTTGCTAATTGGCACTAATATTTTTAGTATTATGCTTCATATTCTCAAGGGATCACCAAAGTCTGTTTATTTCTGCGTGTTTTATGACCTGTCTATCTACTCCGTAATGAAAAAAAAAGTTTCGAAAAGGTTCGAATGAACTCATTTTCAAAATATAAATAAATAAAATTAAAAATGTAAACTGGATTTATGTGAATAAAGAAAACATTAAAATGTGATGCATATTATGTTGTTACATTTCAGATATTATGTTATACTTTTTTCTTCTATCTGTAATACATTTTTTTAAAAGTTCATATGAGTTTTTAGTAGAAATTAGTTGATATTTTAGATGCTGCTACATTTGCTGATCAAAATTAATTTTTTTTTATTTTAATGATCCTTATTTTTAATTTAATTTTAATTTAAAATGCCAGATTAATACATTATTGGCATTGTATTATAACAGTGCTAATTTAAATTAATTCAATTCGGAGAGATTTATGCACGTATCTACCCACTTTATAATATTTCTCCATGTACCGTAATTAGGGGCTAATCAGACCCAGTTAGGTTTATTTGGATCAACAGAAATAAATTTTACAATCATATTATTTATAAATATGATAAAAATATTAGAATTGATTAATATTATAATTATTAATTTAATTTTAACTAAGACATAATTATTATGATTATCCATAGATCTCTATTATGTATATATATATATATATATATATATATATATATATATATATATATAATCTCTCTATCAGGGATCAGGAATAGGTTGTGTGGCACCTTGCTGGACGTTCGTGCGATTTTTTCGGTTTGAGTCAAAGTTATTCAGAATATTCTGATTTGGATTTTAAAATTCGATATTTTATTTAAATATTTGCTACTATCAAAAAAACAAATGATACGTTGGAAACTCTAAATTCTAGGAGAAGGCTGGAACTGTATTGCATAAATTCGTATTTAAAAAAAAAAAATGTGGAGATAACATTATCTGTTTCCGACTGAACACGATTCCTGCTGCTGATACTGCGTTCCAAACGCATTCCATAAAATACGCATTACATTTATTTGAATTTTATCGTTTAATATTTTATATATTTATTTATTGTATGCTTGTACGGATTTTTTCATATATTTATAAAATAGAATAAATAGTTATAATTGTTGGCATATTCGCTGAAATATTTAATTGATTTTAATCGATAAATAATATACTCTCAAATTTATTTTTGAAAAAATTCAGTTCGAAATTTTAAAGTTTTTTTTTATCATTGCAAAAATACAAAACAGTTCAGTACTAAACAGTGCCTTTTGCTTCTGAGTCTTAATCGATTTTTTTCTTGTTTTGGTTAGGTGCAATTCAGGAGTTTTTTTATATACATTTTATTATTATCCGCCCTTTCATTTTGAAAAGGTGTGCCGCTATGGACTATAACACCAAAGCCGCTGTACCGGTTTTAATCAAACTTTGTTAAATACCCTAATTAATTCCTATTAATTTATGTATATGAAATGCTTCCCCGAAAAGAGACTAAAAAAAAAGTAATGATGGATTCAGAATTTTAATTTCAAATAAGTCAAAAATTACACAATTTTTGGTTCTTTATATCCATGGGTATTTGAAAGCTTCCTGAATTCCATATAAAATGGGAGGAAAAAACAACCACATAAAAATATATCATAGAAATCGAAAAGAATTACGTTCGATAACATATTATCATAAATTTTTTTTTTACCCATTTCTTCGGTTTATATTTTTTAGGATATCTCTATCATGAAAAATTTATATTTGGCATAGAATGGCAACAATATAACTTAACTGTTCTGTATTGTATATATATATATGTGTATATATATATATATATATATATATATATATATATATATATATATATATATATATATATATATATATATATATATTGGGATCTTGCAAATTTTTACATGTCTTCCTTAAATATTCAATAATAGTTCTGGCCAAATTTCGACGACTGGGTGATCACTGGTTATGATAAAAAGTGTTAACCATTCTTTCTGTTGGTACTTCTTTATTATAAATACCGAACTGGATCACATGGGTTTACATATTTTATTAACAATTTTTGATACCTACCTTCGAAATCTAATACCTGGCTCGTTGATGAATCAATATCCTAAAGAATTCAATTCAGAAATTTAATCAATCCCCGCAATTTATGACACCAATTTCATAATCTTCAAATTTTATTTCTTGCTATCCGATATTGTGTTATCATTTTTGTATATAGTGCGGAGGATAGAGGTGTGAGAAGTTTCTAAACTCAGCACTGAAATAATTGATGACCATCAGAAATTCAACAGGCAGTTCCTACACTCATGGAACAGTGGGAAAGTTCCTAAACACGACGCTGAGGTCATTGATGAACATCAGAAATCCATCAATGGAGCGCTGAGTTTAGGAACTTGCCCATGTATTTAGAATGATTTGGCATGTTCCGCGTTGCAAACATAATACTTGCGTCGCTTAGAGACGATTTTAATTGTAAATTATAATATAAGAGCAAATTTATTTTGAGAAATGTTAGTGAGCGATAGAATAAAAAAAACATTAGGGAAGAGGTAGTGTTTAAAA